AGGATATGTACAAGTTTTATTTAATTTTGAGTTGATCCGGTTAGAGATCATCCCTCCCCCATATTCGGATCTTGTGATTGTTTGTTTGGAGTTTGTGTGACTTCGTTTGTGCTTGTTTTGAGGTGTTTATTGATTGTGTTTTGACCTTTGATTGTAGGTTTTTTAGGTCTTTTTGGAGTAAATTGAGGCTGGTTTATAGCTTGGGTGTTTTGACCTAGGGCTACTTGTTTGTTACTTGTGTGTTTGAGTTTTCACAAGACTTGGCATCTCTCAATCCAGAGATCACGGTTGCATTTAAGGTGGCTTCTCTTGGAAAACTCCTAGCATGTTTACCAAGAAGAAATACTTCAAACAATTGATTGGGATGGTTGATTGAAGGCATCTCATTCTCCATCTTCTTTTTTCTCATAACTTTAAGTGCTTCAAAATTCAAATGGTCAAATCTCTTGTGCCAACAACATGGTTCATCTTTTGTAGTAACCTTCAAACACTTTGCTTTAATTATCTTGAGATTCAACACAAACATTCTATTTCTTGACATAAACATCTTAGCAATTAAATTGACATTTTGATCTCTAAGCAAAAGGCACATATCTTTTATGAGAATTTCATAGCTCTTTTAAAAAGTTGGCCCAAACTTAAAATATTATCTTTCAATTTAGACACATAATAAATTTTGGTGATTAGCTTATGGCTACCATCTTTGGCAAGAATAGAATTGTACCTCACCCTATAATTTGAATTTGGGAGGAGTCTCTAAAAGACACCTTGCTTTTCATCTTTTCATTAAGCTCTATAAATCTCTCTTTGCTTCTATATTACTTTCTCTATTGTACAAATGCCATGAATTATTGTCATCCATTTTTTCCTCCTTGAGTGCTAGCAATAAAGTTGACTCTTCAACGTCTTGCTTGTCATCATCAATAAGATTAACCTTCTCTTCAACATTTTTAGTGGCACAATGATACTCCTAAGAATAATAGCCAAATTTATGTAACATTCAACATTTGACTTGTCATACCTCCTCTCATTTGATCTTTGATAGTAGCCACGTCATCTTCCTCTTACTCTTCTATGGCCTTTAGGTGATGAATGGCTTTTCTCCTCATTATTTGAATTGTCATCTCTTCCTTTTCCTTCTTGGGCACGACCATGTCCTCTTCCTCATCCATGTCCTTTTTGGGTATTTTCTCCCTTATCATCCTTCAAAGAAGCCTTCATTGAGAACATGCTCCAATGGCTCTTCTTGTCTTCTTTTGAACTTTTCTTCTTGGGCTTGCAAAAAACCTTCCAATTCTTTAACGAGTAATAGAGTCTAAATTTTTTTACTCTTCGGTGACACAAAACACGATCATATTTAAGAATCAAGGAATGAAGAATCTTTTCCACCATACAAACATTTTCTACTTTATTTCTATATCTCTTTAATTGATTCACAATAGCTTGCCTTGAACAATAATCTAAAATTGACTTGAATTCCTTTATTCTCAAGGCTTCAAAATTAACCCTTAGTGATTACGGTTTAACTTTCTTCAATTTGTCAACTTCTTAGAGAGAATTTTGCAAAATCTCTCAAGCTTGCTTTAAGGTGGTTGCGTCAATCATCTTTTCAAACATAGAATCATCTAAACATTGATGGATGAGGGTGAGGGCTTGTTAATCCTTCTTCCTTCTCTTTGACAAAGCACCCTTCTCGTTTTGGGAAAGATTGGTTTCTTCTTGAGGATTTTCATAGTCATTTTCTATAATATCTCATACATCTTGAGAGCCAAATAATGCTTTCATACAAAGAAATCAACTCTCATGATTTTTTTTTTTTTTTGTAAGATGAGGTTAACGGAGTGAAAGTATTTTACTATTTACCATTTCTTTAATTTTTTTCTCTCAAAACTCTCTTTTAATTCTTAGGATTTTAGCTCTTATATCACTTCGTTGGAAAGAGAAGAATTCTAAAAGAGAAATATTTTAATACTCATTTTGTTTCACTTACTTTCAAATGTCAAATAGATAGAGTATATATAGATTCTTCTAAACGCTAATTACATGAAACATAATTAAGAACCAATACATTCATCATTTTAATCCTCATTTTGCTTCACTTATCTAATCACAAAAGAGATCTAAAAAATTCAAATTATTTACTTTCAACACATCCATCACCTCTGTCATTATCAAACAAGCACCACCATTGTTCCAGATGAAAAAAAATCACCTCATCCTTCGAGATTTTCCAACATCATCTAGAAGCTTTGTTTTAACAATTTAGGTATCCAAATCTATGGATAGATCTCGTTACTTGAATTAAGTGAAAAAGTAATCAAAGTAACTCTATTTTTTCAGCAGTCTTGACGCACGATCAAAGCCGGCAAGCTATTGCAGTTAATAACAATATCGCCATTACATTGAAGTTTGATCACTTGTTTTATTATTAGTAGCTGAGGAGGTTTGACATCCTTTTACCAGTAAACTAATCCTCTACAAAAGTCAAAACAGAAGAAGGTGAACAAATATATCTAGGGTCCTTCCAGTCATTGAATATGTAGTTACGAGAAGGTCTAAGCAGGTTTTTGTAGTGATTGCCTTCTCTGACAAGCAAAAAAAACATGCAATTTCTGATGGAATGGTGCAAGGAAAATGTTAAATGTCATTGAATACGCAAGGTTTCTTCAACCTTGAAGAGACCAGACAGCACTTCTTTTCATTTCATCTTCAATATGTATATGATGCAAAAATCATTTCCTAGCAAAGAAAAAGAAAAGGAATTATTTTCTTCTAATTGGCTCATATTCATAATATTGAAAACTTTACCATAAATAACACATCACTTCTCCATTCTCCTATTCCCTTTTGGAAGTTGTGCTTTACAGGATCTAGGCTTCAGCTGAAATAAATCTTATATTTAAAAACAAAATTTGGGAGCCAGATTTGTATTGTACATTTTGAATCTTGTCCTATTTGATTATAATAGAAGTGAAGCGATCATCATTAAATGGCACATGGTTGAATAGTTGTCTTACCAGAATAACAGAGTATCAAAATAAGTACAGAGCATCTGTCTGCCAGCATTAATCAAAGCGACTTGAAACAAATTACCTGTAAATTAAATAAACCTGGTTTCAATGTCATAAACCTAGCTTCATACAATCTGTATTTAGTTGGCAATTAGTGAAAGTTTTTGACTGTGATGATTGTATACAAGACAAAGTCAGTTTAGTAACAAAGTGCTTAAAGAATTATCCCAACATTTCTAATATATAAATTCCAGAAACAAAATTTTGGGTTGACTTTAGCAAGAGGAAAAGGAAGAAATACGCTATTTTCAAATTTCATTTCATATAAAAATAATATCATTATGAAAGTCCTGGGGCAGGATCAAACTCCAATTTAGTGCCCTAGATTCTTATAAACATTCTTAGTTTGGTTGCCTAGATATTTTTATCTGTAACCCTACCCTATAGATCATCCTGATTCCTGACTAAACTTAGTAGCTCCAATTCTCCATGTCGTAACACCATAGCCTAGCTGAAAGATTACTGTTCCTAGCGTACATGGAATTCCTTTTATAGTATAAACAAAAAGAAATGCGTTATTTTAACCCTTCGTGTTACCTTGACTGAAAAGGATCATTTTGCTTTTTAAAGCATAAATCAAAAGGACTTGAACTTAACAGGGAAGCAAATGTTGCTTACAAATTTACCAGGAACCCCAATCACCAAGTTGCATTGTCTTTCTTTAGTCGAGTGAGGGCACTGAGTTTTATCTGTCAAAATCATTAGATTATTTTGGCTTGAACCAGCTAGCTATTTTTATTTTTTTCCCTATCCCAGAGGATACAGACAATTAGTGCTTTACAATTTCAGATGGCTATGTGTTGCATCAAATGTGCTGAGCTCTACAGTGATTGGATACTGGCCGATTCTTTACATTGTTTACTGATGTATATGTTTAATGCTCTTCTTACCTTTGCGGCTTAAGATTGGAAAGAGAAATTTTCTACACTTTTTGAACATTGACTCAGCTTCAAAACAACCCTTACATTCCTCCACTAGATCTATGCACAGTATCAATTATATCAAGACCTTGAAGAAAGTATTTTATTTAAAAAAAGATGTGAGTTCCATGACCCAACATGTGACTGCAAACTAAATTTGCTTCAAACAAGAACAGCTTGATATTTAAAAACGTTACTCATCAAAACTAGTTGCATCAGATCAATAAAATAAACAGAAAATCAAGCTAGGCACATAGGCGAAAATGACCCTTGGTTGGAAATGAATACAAGAGCATAAAGAGGTAATCAAACTAGGGTATTAAAAATCTTATCAACAAAATCAATACTATTATTTACCACATTGCTCGCCGAGTTTTCTCTCTCGGGTTCTACTTTTCACTTACATCCTCCTTGTTCAAGTGATTTGCTTGTTTATCTTCATAGCGACGTAATCAAGCAAAAGCTTTTCCTAGATTGCTTTTGATTGACTACTATTCTCCTAAAGTTGAGGTTCATAACCCATGTCTCAGGACCTGAATACCAGTTGTATTCTCATAAGAGAATGCACCATGTAAGCCAGTTGTGCAAGCCATTCCCGATCCATCTTACACGCGAACCGCCTAAAATGTGTGATTTACTACACTGCAACACTCCCACAATATCAAACAGTTTTGACCTTAAGTAAACTTGCTTTTCCGATGATCACAGAGATATATAAAATCAAATGAGTAACTTTGTTTTATAACTTTTCGTAAGATTCAACTTAAGGAAATGAAGTAAAAGCCTATTGGGATATATATAAACTTGTGGCTCCTCTCCATCCTACATAGAAAAAGTGCACCTCGTAAAATTACAAAAGCATTGATCCTGTAAAATTCCTACTAGTGAAAATTACAGTAGGAACTAAGAAAATCAAAGAAGTATAAAAGCATCAACTTTTATTTACGCCCCCATTAAATCTTGTTCATAGATCTCTCTCCCTAGGAACATAGAATACACTCCACCATTCATGGATCCACCACCTGTGCCACCTCTCCCCAACGCCACCACCACTATTGCCAATCCCACCACTAACCATCTGAACTACCCCGACTCTGTCGGTTCCTCCCCCCGCTCCCATCCAACTGACAGTACATTCAATGAGACTCTCCCGCCTGTTCCAGGTGCTAAGCTCCGCCTAATGTGCAGCTATGGAGGTCACATAATCCCCCGTCCGCATGACAAAAGTCTCTGCTATGTAGGCGGTGAGACACGAATGGTAGCGATTGACCGCCAGTCTTCTCTCTCCATCCTCTTCTCCCGCCTTTCCCGAACTCTCCTCAATGGTCGTTCCTTCACTCTCAAGTACCAGCTGCCTCATGAAGAACTTGACTCTCTAGTATCTGTAGCAACAGATGAAGATCTTGACAACATGATAGAAGAATATGACCGCATAACTGCATCATCATCAGCTTTATCACCTTCTCGCATCCGCTTGTTTGTTTTCTTTAACAAGCCTGAAACTGCAGCCTCTATGGGATCCCTTCTTGATGACGCAAAGTCGGAGACATGGTTTGTGGATGCGCTTAATGGTTCAGGATTAATTCCGAGAAACCTGTCAGATTCTGCTACCATGGATTGCTTAATGACTCTTGACAATGATCATGACTTGGAGGCTCAGGCAGAAAGTGTTGAAGCAGAGACCAAGAAAGCTAAGAATGAACTATTGCATGAAGTGCACACCACACAATCTGATTCCCCCGTGGTGGAGAAGAATTCATCATTTGGTTCATCTTCTTCCTCCCCTTCAATGTCCAACCTGCCGCCCATTCGGGTTCGTGTGGAGGATTCAAGAGTTGGAGTTGAGGAGCAGTTTGGACAAATGACTTTTGCTCAAGTTGTACAGAAACATGACGACGGCTATGGTCTTTTATCTGCTCCTCCACCTCCAATTCCTATATCACTAGCTGCAGTTGGGACTGCAATATCCACTAATCCTGCAGGTGGGTCTAGTGATCACTTGAATAGGCTTTTATCAGATGATGAGAGGTCGGATCAGGGTGTTCCAGTTAGTTTTCGCAAACCACCACTTCCTGTACTGCAGCCCGTGCAACACAAGGGTGGTACTGGTACCTGCTACAATTTGCCTTCCCCGGATTCAGTTGCAAGGTTATCTTTCGATCTGCATAACTTATTTTGCATATTTCCCTTTTCTTTTATTGTTTACAATGGATCCTCAGTAAAATAGAAAAGAAGGGACCGGTTTAATTAACTCCTTACAGATTATAAGTGCATAGATATGATAGATGGTCACCTTCTTTCACTAAAAACTAAATCTACATAGTACATACAACGGTCAAACAAACTCATGTCCCGCCTATATCTGAAGCAAGAGAAATGGAGAAGAATGATTTGGTGAAACTTGTTTCGCCGGCATTGTTCAACGTGGATTCACTAAAAAATGTTCATTGTTTCTTTCTTTTGTTGTTTGAAAATGAAATGTTGGTTTCCAAAATAGCTTTTTTTGACTCTTAATCTAATTGTACAGTGACAGTAGTACTGCATCTGCAAACTCTCTTTCAAAGCACACGTATTATCAAGATCAAGCTCATGCTGCACCCAGAGACAACAGAGCTCCGGATAACAAAGGTGATATTCCAATTTCAAGCTCTCAAATCCAGACGCAACAAGTTCAAGATTCTGGTTACGCATTGCCTCCACAACTTGATCGGCAGCAGCAGCAACCATTTGCACCAGCCAACACACACTTCTTCCCTCACCCCGCCACAACTCCGGTGCCGATGACATCTTACTACCCAGTTTATGCTTCTCCTTCACAACAGCCTCCTCTTCCAATCGATCACCAATATCCTGTCTACTTAATGCAAGTTAATCAACCACAACAATACATGTCCATGCAAACTAACATGGTAGACACTACTGCAGTTGTAGCCACGAGCCACCCAGTAACACCACCCACTGCAGCCTATATGGACTCACATCCACCCATTTACCCCACAAAGACTGGCGCTACCTCAGCTAAGCCTGAAATGGCTGCTCCTGTGTATAGAACAGCAGTGCCCTCAACTCATCCATTAGTCCAAGTCCCAGCCAATCAGTTTCAGCAACAATATGTCGGTTACTCTCAAATGCAACATCCAAGTCAGTCCATTGCTCTTCCTCCTGCTGCTGCTGCTGCTGCTAATTATGCTTATTCTGAATATGCAAATGCCACACATGACCAAGTGTACTACACTCCTAGTCCTCAAGTTGCTCCATTGCGTCCTCAGTACCAATCCATGAACCCAGCTGCAGTAGTAGCATTAGCAGATGCTTCAAAACAGAGCAATGCAATGCAACAGAATGATGGAACTTCACAGCCACTATAAATTTAATTAGGGCAAAATAAACTGCTTAATTAACAGGTGCATATGGTTGTTGTACTCTCTGATATACTTCTCAGTGATAATTTATAGGTATAATAAGCTTAATTATGCTACCCTTTGTTAGAGAAACCGGAGGGAAAAAAAAAAAATTCTGCATACGGTAGAAGTCCTGCAAAGGTCGTGTTTGTTCAATTTGAGAATAAGATACATTGAATAAATATTTCTTCTTTGAAATAACTGTTTTGTTTGATCCATCATTCAAGAAAGTCTTGAATTGGTTTGGAATTTCCCTTTCACAAAAATTATCGAACTCTTATGATAATTGTATGTCGGGCTACTCCACATGTTCCTATGAGATCATGTGGATTAAGTTTTTCTTCATCATTATTAGCAAACATTTTGTACGCCGTTGAAGCAGTAATCAATGTAGTTATTAGGATTTCTTTTTTTTTTTTTTTTAATTGGCTACTTATATAATCCCAGTAATAACATAAACCTTATTATGTCTTAAGAAATTCACCTACGTACTGATTAAGAAAGTATGTTTCATTTTTATGAATTTTTGGATTTCAATATTAGAACTAATATTTAAAAAAAAATTATTAAATTTCTTCAAGTATATCCGGAAGACAATCTTAAAATCTCCTGTAGAAAAAATTTTGTTTCGTATTAACACAAAAGTTAGCTTAAAATTATCTCTTAACCTTCGAATATATCCGGAAGCTACCTTTTCATCTGAACTGCCGCAAAGGGCCATAATTAACTTTGAACATCCACATGTTTTTATATATCTAACCTTTTTGTTCCTTGTTCTTTTGTGAAAACAAGTAATATCATTGCCTTCATTTTGACAGAAACTTGGATTGAAAATCGCAGTCGTCAAAAAGTATTTTATCCAAATCAAGCAGAGAGCAGTGCGGTAAGGCCACATGGGAAATTATAGTCGTTGGACCTCTCTTGGCTGATGGCCTTGGTGGGTGATGTTGACAGAGCTAAATACTTATTTGGGGTCAGTTTTGCATCATATAATAAGTTGTTGACCCATATTTATTCAATTTGCACTTTTGCCATCATATCGAATCTATCAAAACCCAGTGCTAGAAGACAAACATTGGCGTTAGGCCTAGCTGGGACTTAGGAGAGCTGTTTGAAGTCGGTGAATTTTTATTCACCAAAATAGTAATAATAATAATAATAACTGAAATAAACATGTGATGTTATTTTCAAGATTATGAATTTCTTAATGTAAATATTAAATAAATGCCATTTGCAGCATAGGCCATGGGCCCATAAGTAGCATAATTTACTTTCAAATAACCTTATCACAGAGAGTTGTTCTGTGGTAAGAGTTTTGAACTTTCAATGATAGAGTTTAAAATTTGAATCCTATTTTTTCCACCTCTTTTTGATTTAACCACATAATTTAGGTTTTTTTTTTCTGATTCCAATAGTATAAAAGCTTGGAATCTCTGATCTAAAATCAATTCATACCCATCAAAAATAATTGATGGGAGTAAAAAAAAAAAAGAAATGTGAAATGACCTGCCCTCACTTCATACAAAAGATATATATATATATATATATATAAACAAAAATAACAAAACGATCGTTCACTGTTTATGTACTGTGCGTTTCATTGTTCACACTCACTAAAATGAACTATGAATCCAAACTCTTATGTACGATGCATTTCATTGATTATCATAAAAATGTTTAATTTTATCCTTCAATTTTAGGAAAAAAATTTGCACAGAGATTCATTTTTTTTATTTTTCATTATGATTTTTGGATGCCTAGAAGACAGAGAAATAAATAGAAAGAGAGACAAAGAGAGACGACCAATCATGCTTATTTTGTCAACGTAACAGTAAAAAATGCCTTTAATTTGTTTGTTTTGGAAAAGATAATCTGTTTGTGGTAGTTATGAAATAGTAAGAGAGGCAGATATGATTCTAATTTTTTTTGAGGATTTTTATTTTGATTTCAATTTTGATGTATTTTTTTTTTGTATTAAAATAGATTATAAGATTTTAGAAGAGTTTGTGGATCTTATTTGGGTTTTTTTTTTTTTTTTTTTTTTTTTTTTTTGTAAAAATAGACATTGAATTTCGATTGCAAGGGCCGAAGAATACAAACCTATTTGTTCAACGCGTTCTCCAATCAAGAATGACTAGTTGGGAATTGCATATAGACGGCACGTCGTTTGTTACATTTGGAGCGGATGACACATCGTCTATTATATTTGAAGCAGACAACGAGTCGTTCATCTTCTGTTTCATATAAAGAAAACGACGAGTCGTCCATATTTTGTTTCCTTTTTATAAATAACTTTGTCCAATGTGAGCTTGGAAGCAAGGCCAAGAGCGCGGCCTGGTTCCTGGAGCTTTCTATTTTAATTTTTTCGAAAAAAATATTTTGATATTATTAATGAGAATTTTTAAGAAAACATTATGAACAATCGCACATTATTTTTTGTGTTTTCCATGTAGATTTTCAAAAATAAAAAATATATAATTTTTTTAATATTTTAATATGAATATTTATTTTATATTATATTAATTTTATCATTTAATTTTTTTTTAATTTCTCATTTTTTATGAAAATTCTCTTTGAATGATAAAATTATTATCAAAAAATCTATATATTTTGATGGCTTGTTTTTTGAACTTTGGATAAAATTTTCAATTTACCTTAATATGATATTTTATTTAAAAATTATTGCATAAAAAAAAAAAGAACCATGCTTCTTTTTTTTTTTTTTGTTGAAAGAAATATGAAAAATATAAAAAGAAAAAAATTAAATACAATATTTTGATTAAAAAATTATAAATTTTAATTTTTTTTTTAATTTTTGATTTGATAGATTTATAATATTATATAGATGAATGATTTTGGTTTGCCGAACCTTTTGTCCTTGACATCTAGCCTAATCTCTCCTTGACAGCTAGCAATTATATAAATGCAAATTTTTAACTCAACAAAGGAGAAATCGTGTATGGCATTTTAATATATTACCTCTAGTTAGGGTCATTATCAAACTACAATTAGACATGTGTAGCACTAAGTTTATGCCAAGAGGAATCGAAAAGGATAGGTGAAATAAAGAGATAATAGCATTGAAAGTCAGTTTTGATAAAAATATATATTTTATTTTATTTTCACATGTCAGAAGAACTTTAAGCTTATATAATATGATCAAACCCTCTGTCCTTATATATGATTCGATAAATTAGAGTTTGAATTTACTTCCCTGAAAAAAGAAAAAAAAACTGTAAGTAAAACCAAATTTGAGTGCGTGAAAATATAAGTTATTTTTTTGGATTTTAGAATATCTAACGTCCAAGTATCTAAATTAATTTTTTTTATTCTGTCGAAAACATGAAAGGATAGACAACTAAGAAAAGATTTATTTAATTTTGAAACAAATAATAATAACAATAGAAAGCTTGTCGAAATCAGCAGGCTTTCAAAAGTAAACGAAGTTAACCACTTTCCACTTCTTTCACGAAAAACCCAAAGTTGTCTCTCACTCAGGCAGTCAGTCTCCCACCTTCATATTTCAGTGCTCAAAAACTAGAAAATCACTAATGCACCTAAGCTTCCCTCTCCAATGGCCACTGTCCCTCACTACCATCTCCCCTTTTTACCATCTTGCCCCTCCTCCTCCTTCTCCTCCCTTTCTCTACTCTCCTTCTCCACCAAACACAGGCAAGTACTTCTCTTTTTACTGATAATACATTAACTTTGTTTCTTGTTTCTTGATTATAGTTCTTGTTGTTGTTGTTTTAGGTCTTTCAAGATCCTCTGCTGCCTATCAATAAAGGAGTCAAAAAATGATCACCAAATCATCCCACAAGAACCTACCATCCCTGCCAAGAACAGCCTCAGGGTGGTGTTGGCAGCTGGTGGAACTGGTGGCCACATAATCCCAGCTGTTGCAATTGCTGATGAGCTAAGAATATCAAACCCGGACACTGAAATCCTCTTCATAGGCACCCCAAATAGCATGGAAAGCGCTTCCATTCCTTCTGCAGGATACCCTTTCACTTCCATCCCTCCAGTAAGACTTTTTAGGCCTCTCTTTTCCCTTGAAAATCTTCCCCTTCCCATACATTTGATACATTCAATAATCCATAGCTTTAAAGTACTTAGAGAATTTGACCCCCATGTTGTTATAGGCACAGGGGGTTATGTTTCGTTCCCTACTTGCCTTTCTGCTGTATTAAAAAGAACCAAGATTGTTATCCATGAACAGAATTCTGTTCCAGGTATTGCAAATTATGTTCTTTCGTATTTTGCTGAATTGGTTTTTGTGGCTTATAATTCTACAATCGAGTGTTTTCCAAAGAAGCACAAGTGTATGGTGACTGGAAATCCTGTGAGGCTGTCCTTGAGGCAGTTTGTTTCCGAGGCAGTTGCGAGGTTGGAGTTCTTTCCGCAGTCCGGGGAGGAGGCTAAGGTGATTTTGGTGCTTGGAGGGTCTTGGGGGGCTAATGCTATTAATATTGCTTTGTTGAATGTGTATAGTCAAATGTTGTTGGAGCATAAGAATTGGTATATTATATGGCAAACTGGTGTGGAGTCTTATAATGAGATGGAGAGCCTTGTTAGAAATCATTCAAATTTGGTTTTGAAGCCGTAAGTTCTTGTCATTCTTTCTATGAATGGATTGATGGATTTAAATGTATATTGTATTTGTTCCCATTTTTTTGATGATGATGGCTCAATATGTTTTTAGTTTGATTGTTCAAACATGTATAACAAGGGGCATCTTTAGAAAATTTTTGTTCTCAATTGCATATGCTTTTGCTGTTGTAAAATCCAGCTGCAATTTGAAAGGAACTTCTTGTTTATTAATTGTAAGTTACTTGTTCCCAAGTGATAATCATACCTTCATGACCTGAATGAACTGGCCTCTGCATGTTGACTTTGTCAAACAGGGAAAAATGAAACTTGTCCATTCCTGCTAAATTAAAGAGAAGAATCGCATACACAAAAAGAACAGAGTTAGATAGAGAATAGCTGATGAGATAAATCGGTTGGCCCTTGACATGATTCCGTGAACAAAATTGATGTCACGACAACCCTTGAACCAGGCGAATTTGTGAAATATAGTGCCTCAGCTATACTGAACCCCGAAGGAGATCAAAGAATGACTACGAGTCTAGTTATTTGAATATGTTTCATCCTTTCTCTCTGTTTCCTCCAAGTCCTATAAGGTCTAAATGTAGTTGATTTGCTTCAATTGGTCTATAAATTGTATTCATATGCTATCCTCTCTAAAGTCTGTTGATTAATCTTCCATCATTGACTTCTGTTTTTTTCTCTTTTTGACTATTTAGTCATTAATAAATTTCAGAGTAGTGGTCTCATATTGTCTTCACTGTTGTATCATAACGTAGAGTTGTAGTCTCTTGAATCTGATGTGGTTCTGAAATTATATAGGTTCTTGCATTCAATGGATTTGGCATATGCTGCTGCGGATCTTATTGTTTCCAGAGCAGGTGCAATGACTTGCTCTGAAATCTTGGCCACTGGGAAACCTGCTATTCTGGTAAACAAGGAAAATCTTAGTTGTTTTTCCTTTTTTGATAAATACTTGGTCGAATAAGCCTTAAGTTTCTGCTTTACTGAATACTGTATTAGTTAGAAACATGTCGAGACTTGCTAGATTCTGCAGCCTATCAAGAGATTGAGAGACAGTAGATTGTGTTACTTAGCGATGACCTCAATGAATCAAAATGGTCTTTTTCTCTTTCGACTTTACACAGATGAGCATTGGTTTATCAAACTTCACATGTTTGGATATTAGAAGAATTCATACAGGTTCAAAAAAGAACTAGCAAATTACTCAAATCCTTACAGTCGCTGTTGCAGTGATACACTAATTTCACCACTTAGCAGAAATGTGCTACCAGATTCTCTATATGGCTTCTGATTCAATCTGTCTACACACTGTGGCACCCTGACTTTGTAACCCAAGAACTGCATATGATGCCCTTGGTGTTTTTGGTCCAGCTATCCATTCTGCTTAGCATGCCTCAATTATCCATAATTAGGATAGTTGCACTTCTTGGAGAAATAAAGCTGCGCTCTTCTTTGTAGATACCATCACCAGATGTAGCCGAAGGACATCAGTTCAAAAATGCTTCTATGATGGCAGATGTAGCAGGAACAAGGATTATTACTGAAGACGAACTTGATTCAACCACCCTGGGAACTACAATTGAAGAGATTTTAGGTATATCTGATTTCTGGCTCTTAGTGATGATAGCCGTGTCTACAATATATGAGTTCATAGTATTGTATTGCCATCCTACTGCGAAAAACACTTTACATAATTTAATTGCTAGAGACCACTTAGTGTAATCTGAATTTCTGCTCTTCTGATGCATTACGGTTTGCATGCTATGAGTGTGCCATTTGCCATGTTGTACTGCAGTATGCAATAGCATAAATTTTGCTAAGACAGAGATGGTAAACAACGTTGAACTAAATTTTCTTTTCAGACATTACACATCATTTGTTTCTGAATATTCCATTGTTTTCATGCTATAACTTTACCTTAAGGCTTAAGCTCTGTCCCAACATTTTATGATGCAGTTGATATAAATTCATGATACTGCTAACTTTTCTCGATAGGTTTCTGAGTTTTTAGGCCTGTTTATCAATTAATTTACAAATAAATGAAATTGCTTGTATCAATCATATTGTTAGTTAATTAAATGAATTTCATGTTCTTCATATTGATGATATGAGCTTGATAAATATATTTGAATCAGCCAGAATGGGAGGTATAAGTGTGACCATGTATAGTTTCCTTGCTATGTTGATATATAACTTTAAATATATTCCTAGAGAAATGGCCTTGGGGAAAAAGTCAAAGAGAAACAAGATATTGGAGATGCTAACATCAATGATATATTACTGGCTAGTTATATTGGCACTGTGCAATTTTTCTTTGAGTTGGTGATTTCTTGAAACATGCTAACATCAATGATAACTAACATGGATGTTACATGATTTTTTTCTTTTTTAATTTTCTGCATTCTCTTAAGAAGGTTAGAAAACTTGGCTGTTCTCTAACTTCCCTTTTTTCCTGATTTTTGTTTTTATGTATTTTTGTAATTAATGAGTTTGTCATGTGGTTGCTAATATAGGAGATGATGCTTTGAGGGCAGAGATGTCAGAAAGGGCCCTGAGAGCTGCGAAGCCTGATGCCTCTGCACAGATTGCACAACATATTCTTTCCTTGGTTGAGTCATCAAGCAAAAAGTAGAACTAGTTTTAGCATGGGTGAGTAGTTGGATTGTAACTGGGTTTGGAACATTGAAGGGAGGAGAGAAGGAAAACATTTTCGGCACAGTAATTTCCCATGCTATAACTTTGTTTTGGCTGATGTATGAATTGCTCAGATTTGACAGGAGTTGAGCACACATGAGCATGATCATCCAAGAATATGGTCAGTAAGAGAGGTACAATAGGAAGGGAACTTGATGGGATAGCTGTAGGGATTGGAGTGATTTATTTTTTAAGTCATTATATATTTATATATTTGGTGTGGGAACTTTTTTATTTTTATTTTTTTTCACACTGGTGTCTCTATTTTTATTTTTGCTCTTTGAATGTGGAAACTTTCAATTTTTATCAAATCAAATATTTATGCATTGAATATATGATGATATAGCTATAAAATTGAAACATTATCATGCTAATGTGTACACCATATGTGCATGAATTTGAACGTTTTACTTTATTTTTAATCAAATGTATATGCTTTTTTTTCCCTTATGATTAATGTTTATATTTTATTAAAGAGTTAATATTTCAGAAAATCATGAATTATATAGTTTTTAATGATTTTAGCTCTTTTTTAAAAAATTATATGAAAAGAGTCATCAATTAAGTATTCGATAACAATATTAGTATCAATATGATTTTTCGATCAAAATTCTAAATAATCGACATAACAAGTGACAAAATATGATATATGAACTTTAACAGATGATAGTAAAATTCACATAAGGCCTTGATTGATTGATTGGTTTAATTAAAAGGTAATAATACTAACATATATTTAATTACCAAGAAAGAAGAAAATAACATAAAATCAAGACGTAAGTTGGTTCAAACAAAAGGAAACCTGGTAACTGTGAAGAACTCCACTGGTTTTGTTTCATCAATACGTTGTAGATAAAAATGCTTAATTTGTATTCTCTTTTAAGATTTATATCAATTTAACATAATCTTATTAATTTGTCTCGGTCATTGTAGTGTCTGTTATTGTTGAATTGATGTTATATAAATATGAAATTTAGGAAAGGATAAATTAACTAGTTTCCAAACTTAAGTCATCCACAAATCAATTACTCCATCTATTTATTGGGAGTTCGAATAATTAACCTCCCTAGCTTGTTATATATCTCCAATCGAAAGGTTAGTTAATTTTTCATTTGATTCGACATACCTTCATTCAATATAGTTGAGTCACATGCAATACTAACTGCTCCATTAGCGGGGGGTTAACTAAGAAAATTCTTAATAGATGAGGGAGTTAATTAGAAGAATGAATTGGCGAAGACTCAAGTAAGATAATGAATCTGACATGCATGGATCCCGAACGAAACGCAACAAATCAGCCTCCGATTTTTTTATATTACAACAATACCATAGGTTAAATATATATATATATATATATATCTCTAACTTCGTTTTGTCTTTTTGGTTTTTCATGGGTCCTTATACCTAAAAATACTTTTCTCCTCATTTCATAAGGTTTCAATAAAAATACTATACAACTAGAAGCATTATTATTGAAATAAAGGTGGCGTGATGTCTGTAAATTTGAAGTCTAATATAAATGTATGTCAAAATTAGGATTAATTAATTTGTGTTTCTATGGTTTTATTTTATTCTCATACATATTTTTACTCTATACTATTTTTAGTAGTCTACCTCTTTCATTAGCTATTGAATTCTTTTTTTTCTTTTTCTTTTTGCTATATTTTTAATTTACTTTATAATTCAATTTAATTTTTAAGTTTGTAAAATATATTCTAAATATTTAGATAATTTACGGTTAGAATTGATTTTTCTATCCATGTTATCTATGTTGTATTTTTTTTTTTTTAATATTTCATGAATGTATTATAATCTTGTGATTATTTTATTTTTTAAAAAAAGTCACTTTGAGTCATTTTTTCTAAATATACTTCTAGTTTAAATTCATTTTTTTAACTCGTTTTTTTCCTTAAGTTACTTATACAAGCAACTTTTGAATTATGACTCAAAGTTAAAAATTATAATTCAAAAGTCATGCCAACCGAACCCCGAATCACTTATATTAGATTTCGAATTTTCCGGCTATTCAGCTCATTATTACATATACTAAAAGTGGACGGGGTTTCACTATAGCTAAGTCCTTGCTATAGTGAAACCAAAACGGCGTCGTATTTTCAAAAAAAAATAAGTGATTTTTTATCAATTTTTTAATATTTTACATTTTGATCCTTTAAGTTATTACTTTAATAACACGAGTTTCTAATTTTAATTAATATTACAAAAAGGTCCCTATAATTTTTTTTGCCGGACTGGTTTTTTTCATTAATTATTATTTAATCAAATAATTTTTTTCCCATTATTAATGGTTACTTTTTCTATTTTTATAAATATTCATTAACTAAAATTAAATATTCTTCTAATATTAATTGATGAAGCACCTCCTTACTAAATTGATTTTTTCAAATAAATAATTAATTGCATGTATTTTTTATTTATCAAAATAAAAAAGATTCCTAAGATATCTTTAAATTCAATTATATATATATATATATGAAATTAAACAATTTTTTTACAATGAGTGTTAATTAATTTTTATTTTACATTTATATTTTTTAATTATTTAAAATATTAAAACATAGATATAATAGACTTACCCATGACGAACGCATGGGTATTGGGCTAGTATTCTTCTATTCCATCAACCCACTTTTGAGTAATGCTATTTCTTAAGAAAGTCTTACAAAAATAAGTTTTAAAAATACAATAGTCGTTAGATTAATTTAAGTTATATATCATTGGGTATCATACTAAGATCATTATGGATTCTTTTATAAAAAAAATCGTTATCCAATGGCTAGTAATCTTCTTGGAACTTATTTTTGTTGTTATTTCCTTATTAAATAGCATATTTCTTCATGTTTTTTATACTTGTCTTATGTATATGTATGAATTTGCATCTTTAATACTCTATATGCAAAGATGAATCGAGAAATTTTAATTAGAGAGATAGAGAGGAATATATATATATATATATAGCATTTTTCTTCATGATTTTTATATTGTCTTATGTATATGTATGAATTTGCATCTTTAATACTCTATATGCAAAGATGAATCGAGAAATTTTAATAAGGAAAAAACAACAAAAATATACATAAGACATATAATTAAAATTTCTCGATTCATCTTTGCATATAGAGTATTAAAGATGCAAATTCATACATATACATAAGACAAGTATAAAAATCATGAAGAAAAATGCTATGTGTGTGTGTGTGTTGTTACAAAAAAAGATAACAATAATATAATTGGAGAGAAAAATGATAGAGAACAAGTGATAAAAACTTCAAAGAATTCTTTCAATGTCTACAAAAACACATCTATCCAAACTGATAAACAATCAAACCTATTTATAGATTTCAAAATTAAAAAGAAAATTGAAATGGACTATAAACAATTAAAAATTACATAGATAGTTGAATTAATCGTATTACCTTTTCAATTTATTATATTAAATGGTGAATTGAATCACATTGAGAATTATAAGTAGTGAAGATATGAAAAACATACGGACATTCATTTAGACATTTATTATTTCATAACATTTTTAAGCTTGTAATAGATTTTTTTTTTCAAAACTCTTAAGCATGTAAAAGTTGATTACGAGAAAATGGTGTCTTCTCCTCACTGCTTGTCTTATAATTAGGATGCTTTATTTAGAAGTATAGTAGAGTCAAACATATACCTTTAAAATTTACGAGACAAATACAAAACTAATGAACCCATTAACAACAAATAACGGTAGGTTAATTAAGAACAATATCAAAAGATATGGAACTCGAATAATGAAAAGCAATAGGACTCAATTAAGTTCATAATACAAAATTGTCCTCCGAAATTTAATTTGCTACTTTCTATGAAAAAAAAAGAAAAAATAAAAAACGAAGTTGTCCTCTAAGAGTCAAGCCTCTTTAATTCATCTTCGACTTGCGAGAGAAGGCTAGAATTAATCGAACTGTATTTTGTTTTGTTTGTGTAGGTACTGCCTTTATATATTGGAAATGATCATTGCTATAGGAATAGAGGTTGTATCGGTTTATGCGATACCAAATTATATAAAGCGACTGCTGCCTATTATGTCTAAGAGTTTCAAGTGGTCAAGTTGGTAGTCATCGGTCCGTTATGTGTTGTTGAATCATTTATGATCCTAATCATGCCCACGATAGTAAAGGCTCGAAAGACTAGGAAATCATCATCTTAATTTTATTTGTGTATTTTATCAATGGATTAGAGATACCACTCTCTTCATTTGTTTTTTAACATAACCCCAAAAGCACTATAACATAATCATCCATATTTCAAATATTAAGTTGTCGCCTATTAAAGTCCATGTACTTATTTTTGTATACTTGTTATTTCATAATAAAATTTTACAAAATAAGTTTCCAAAATACACATCGACCACTAAATTAATGAAGTCATCATTAGTTTTCATATGAAGATCATAATCGATGGCTAATAATCTTCTTGAAACTTTTTTATTTTTTATTTTTTTCAATTTCATTTGCATTTTTCTTTATTCTTTCATACTTTTCTACATACGTGTATGAGTTCGTGTATTCAATGGCCAATTCAAGTGAATCACAAAAGTGTATGTGAGACATAAACAATCTAAATTGCACACACAATTAAATAACTAACCCTAGCTTCATCCTTGGAAAAGGGAGGGGATGGGAATGAACGTTAATGACATCTTAATTTTGTTTGAAAAAAAAATTAAAGGGATGGAAGGGGAAGGAAGGTTGATTTTTAACCTTCATTCCTATTTGCTCTTTAAGACACATTAGAATTTGTTTTTCTTTTTCTTTTTCTTTCTTTTCATTTAACTTTTGAACACTTTATTAGTACAAAAGTTTTGTAAATTAATAAGTCATCATTTAAATTAACTAACAAATTTAGGATACGTGGTTTATGATGGCGGTGATGATTGGTGATCGTTCATAAAGGATGAATGGAAGTCTTCTTGTATCATATACCTATAAAAAAATCCTCTTAGTTAGGTAAGGGACTCTTCGACGCCCAAGTTAGTAGTCGAAAGGTAGCTAGTTGGTTTGAAAAGGCTCTTATAAGCTACTTGTATATTAGTGTTTTTATAATTTTAGCTATATTAGTGTTTTTGTAATGGCACTAACTTGTTGCCTTTTTATATATATAGCCATTTCAAGTACAAGCTCACCTTCTCCATAAGTGGAGAACTAAAAAGAAATAAAGGTTTAAGATGGTAGGCCTCTTACAACGACTTTGTGACTCTCTGTTGGAGCGAGATAGAGAGGTCCAATCTCTCTATAAAGAGATAAGAGAGGGATTGAAAGATACGGAGAAGGCCACTAGTGCAAGCCTTTATAGAATAAAGGGTGGTTATAGCCCTAGAGTTTGAGGCGACCTAAAGGATTACAATTGTGATCTGTAATAAGGAATGTAATTCTAGAAAGGATGGCTCGACTAGAAGTCCGTTTATTATCATCCTGTAGCATTTATAGATAGGATTATAGAGTGTTTTCTTGTAATTATATGATAATTAGATTTATAAGTTTATGGATGTAATATTGTGCTTGATGAATTTAATGAAATTTTGAGGACTTTATTTTTCTATGTTTCTCTTTTCTTTTCTCTTTTCTCTCTTTTTTCTTAACATTATTTAGCATGCACAAATGTTTTAAATGATTCAAAAATCATATAGGACTTGGTATTTAGGTAAGCGTAATACGTTTTTTAATAGATTTAAGGTCTAGAGTCTATGCGGGACTTGGTGTTAGTTTGATTGTTCTCCTTTAATGGATTTGAAGAGTATACGGTCCGTGTATGACTCGGTGTTTGTTTGGTTTTTTTCCCTTTTGTAAGTAATATAAATAGACATGTATACTTTGTAATGAAATATAATGTCTAACTTTATAAGAGCAATTTTTTGTTTGATTGCTCCATAAAAGGGTGCATTCTTGTAGTTCTATTTGAGGATTAGTTGTCCATCCATTAAAAGATATGGCTATGTATTCTTTTAGGAATATGGCCGGATGTGTTTTTCGTGGCATTTGGTCATCTGTCTTTTAAGGATACAACCCTAATTTTTATCGTCTTTTATTTTTAAAAGGTTTTTGGCTATGAGTTATGCCTTCCTACCTCACAAAAGATACGATCGTGGTTTTTTTATTAATATTCTAGGTTGTTGCTTATTGTGTGACTTGATTACAAAGTCCGAAGAAACGAGTAGTAATTACGACCACTAATAATTATTGCAATCACCACCATCTTGTTATTAAATTAACCACCATTACAATCATCATTTTATCTTTATTATCACTACCATTACTACCATAAAAATTCATCATCATTCAACCACAACCACTACCACTAATATTATCACAACCACCATCATAAATGTTGCAATCATAATCATCACCAATACTACCATTATACCTCTACTGCATTAACCATCACTATTTTTATCATTAACATTGTTATCACTAAATTTCTTTTCCCTTTTTATTGATATTTTTAGAGAATCTCATAATTTGTGGGTTATATATATATATATATATATATATAGGAGTCCAATTGAGAAGATTTGAGAAACGAGTCCAAAAAATCCAATTGAGAGATATAATTGAGAAAGATTTAAAATTTAAAAGTCTTTATTGAATATAAGAAGGGGTTCAATTGGAAGAAATTAAAAAAAAGGCTAAATAATCTCAATTAAAGAGATAAGCGAAAGAAAACCAAACAAATTTGCACTAAAATTGAAAAACACGAAGGAATCAAAGACCAAAATTAATTTTTATTCAAAATCCTAATTAATTTTCTCTATAAATACCCATCTTCTTCCCATTTTACGCAAAGTTACTATTTATCATCACTCTCAAAAGCTAAGAAACGTAGCCATCATCTTCAAGTTCTAATAGCGCCCTCTTTAGCTAAAACCACCATTACCACAAACCACCACTTAGACCACTTCTACACCGACCTCAATCGTCTAGTCGAACCACCTTTTTCCTTCTATTTTGCTTAGTTACTATTCATCTCCTCTCCTAAAAGCCAAAAAAACACAGCAACATCACAAATTCTTTCTCCTTCATCCTTTTCAATCAAAACATTACCCATATGGCCCCCTCCTCCTTTATCTCCTTCGGTTGAGACACCATACTATCCATCATCATCGGCCTCCATAAGCCATAATAGCCACCATCAACACTATTGACGGGGGCTTGTAAAGCGAGAGGAGTCACCACTTAGCTATCGAAGAGAACTAGAAAACTTTTAAATTGAACTGTTATGCATAGATATCTAGGTAACGAGTCGATTATATATAGAAAAGATTTATATCACCACCATCCCGACCTACCTAAGGTACGCTGCACCTGTATGCATGTGCAAATTAAGGTATGATTTTACTATGTTATGTTTCTATGTCTATTTGAATAAATTTATTTTATTAAGGTAAATTGATCAAGTAATTTAGGGTTTAGGCAAGTAAAAGGCGTATATCTATAATTTAAAGGGAAATATAGATAGGGCTGAAAGTTTGGCTAAAACATAAGTGATTGTAAACTTGTATTGGTAAAAAATAAGTCTTTTAGGATTATGAGCCCATATTGACATAATTAGGAAATTGTTAGCAACTTCGTTTATATAAATAGGACTCCACCTAATAATTTTGATTCACACAACGAAAGAGAAAAGGGGTTATCGGTGAATTTGTCCACATAAATAGAAAGCTATTGACAACACAAAATAGAAAATTATTCAAATAAAATAAAAATGATGAGTTCCTTACGACTATAGCTCATATTAAAAATTATTACAATAAAATAAAAATGATGAGTTTCTTACAATTGCGGCTCGTAACAAAAATTATTCAAATAAAATAAAAATGACGAGTGATTTTCGACTACGACCCATAATCGAAATTATTCAAATAAAATAAATATAGCGAGTCCGTTATGATTGCGATCCATAGCAGAAATCATTCCAATGAAATAAAAATGGTGAGCCCATTGCGATTACTGACCCATAACAAAAACCATTCAAAGAAAATAAAAATAACGAGTACCTTACGATTACAATCTATAACGAAATCATTTTAATTTTAAGAAACTTTTCACGCATTCATATGTGAGTTTTTATTTCACAATTTAAGAAAAAATTTTCATTTCACACATTCACAAATGGGTTTTTATTTCACATTTTAAGAGAAATCATAGGTTTTCATTTTATCATTCATACATGAGTTTTTATTTCACGTTTTTAAAAGTAGGCTTTCATACTTTTATTTCATGTATTTAAAAAAAAAATCATAAGTAATCATCATATTTTGATCAAAATTATAGAATTTCATTTTATACCTTTTTATGTGATTTTCATTTCACATTTTTTTATGTGTGGGTAAGAGCTGTTAAACCCAATTGATAATAAGATGGGGTTTCACCCCCATTTTGTCGTTCTTTCGGGTTTAATGTTTTTTTCTTTTTTTTTTTTAATTTCAAACTGAGAATAGAGGTCTTTTTCCTTCTTAAATGCCAAATCATTTGACTTTTATGAATGTGTATTTTCTCGATGACAACCACATCCAAATCGGCATAAATAATTTAGCATAATAAAACTATGAATGAATGTTTGAAATAACATGGGGTAAAGCCTACCTCAAGCAGGATATTGAATAATGATTTTTTTTTTTTTCATATAACTAGCTCCTTATAAATAATCTTTGAGTAGACGAATTCTTTAAAAAATTTTTAGTTATAGTTAATATTAAATATAATATTAAATGGCAATCTTTTTTCTATGGTTTTTCTATTTCAAAGTTCTCTCATTTCAATGTCCACCCGCGACATGCCGCTCAATCCCTACAATTGATTCGAAAAGCTAAAATTAGTCCCATAAATTTGCTCGATCACCATTATCACACCTAATTTTATCAAGATATTTGGATTTGGTCCTTGTACTCCAAATTTTAGTAATTATATTATGCACATGCATGTCTCGTGCTACTTAATGGGGTAAATGGACAGAAGCCTTAAGAAGGTAATCAATTGGTTTTACTTGATAGATCGATACACCAAAATCAGAAAAGAAAAATATCAGATATTGAGTTGTATTTGATCAAAAATTCAAGGAATCGTTTTACTAATTAGCCTTCTTCTTTCCTCGAACTAATCTTATCAGTGTCCAGCGCCACGTCATAAGCACGTGTCATCTTCGATATGCACATGCCGAAAACTGTCTCCATCAAAATCCTCCCTAGAATAGGCCCCACTTCTACTTCCAGAAAGTTCCAACTTCCTAATACGATGATCTAGTCTAGTAATCTACACCACGAAAGCAAATATCTTCTGATTCTCCGAGAGGAAAAAATAAACAAAAATCAGTTCTGTCCTAAATGCTTCTTGTCTTCTAAAAGTATGCAATCAAATCCATTAACTTTATAATTTTTATGCAAATTTATTTTCCATTTCATCCCATTTTTCCAGAAAAACTAGTAATTGCCAATTAGATGACATACGTGTCAAAAAGAGGGCTCATCTTGGGAACATGGGTGACATAGTGAAAATCAAAACTTGGCATGCTTCGGTTTGGATGTTTTTCAGACGGACTTAGATCATATATGATTTCCGAGTATATACTTCTCTTAACTTCAAAATATTAGGTTTGGGTGGATTCAAATCAACCTGCCGATTTGAAATTGTTTTAACAATAAAGAGATTCTTAGAGGTGTATTTCCATTCATAAATATATTTGGTTTCGTATTATTATTCAAACTTTGCATTTTAGAGAAGATTTAAAAAAAAAAAAGAGAGAAAAAACCTCTCTCTTTTTTTTTTTTTTAATGAACACAGCGATCTTTAAATGATTGGCCTTAAAATTTAATCGAAGATAGACTTCATTTATTGTGTAAAAATAGCCACGTGAATGCCCTTATCAATAAAAACAAACAAACAAATAAAGAGGATTCAATTATTATTATAGAATTAACATTTATGTAAATATTTATACAAACTACAAATTTTCATAAACATAACAAAAGAAAGGCTCATAAAAAAAAACGGAATCAAGATTATTAAAAGAAGCATCCATTACTTCAAGCATTAAAAAAAATTACTACTAAACTCATAGCTTTATATATATATATATATATATTAAATCGATTATTAAAGAATATTTCACCATTACAAAATTAATAGAAGAATAGAGTCAAATCTCGAAGGTTTTAGATTAAAATTACTACTAAACTCATAGCTTTATATTTTATGGTTGGTTCAGACTGGATTAAGATTTGGTTTGCAACCGTTATTAGGCACCTATTGATATAAATAGAGGGACCCATTTTGACAATTAAAAAAATCAAGGTCTTAGTTGTATATTTTTGTTATAAAAGGTTTATTATAGCAAATTTAGCATAGCATAGGGACTAAAATTGCTTTGATGATTAAACTTCAAATTTCATTCGTCTCGTAACCAACATTAAAAATTTCAAACAACCAAAATGCCTACATGACAAAAAAAAAAAAAAAAAAAAACCAACCAACCAACCTTCTAGAGTAAAATATAAATTAGCTGCTTTAGTTTAAAATGAATTCATAATTTGTTTTCAAAAAATTATTTATTTAATCTTTTGATGAGTATAGATCGCTTTAATTTAATATTAATTCATTTTTAAAATTTTTTATAATATCTATTTATTTTTAAATTCAAAACAAATTAAAAATATATATGTAATAGACAAAATAACTAAATACTTAGTTTTTTTAACAACAACCTAATTAATTTTTTTCTCAAAATTAAAGGACTAATTTATAACTTACTCCCGCCACCTCAAAAATCTTTAGTCTCAACCGGTCAACATTAAATTTCAACCAGCAAAATGTCCGCATGTCATTGGCATAAGAAAACACAGACCTTTCCCTCCACATCTAAATACCGGAAAATGAATGAATTAATCTATTTATAAAATTAATATTAAATTGTTTAATTAGTGTTAATTATATTTAATTTAATATTAATTCTTTTATTTTTTTCAATATTCTATAATATCTCACTTATTTTAAAAATGAATAAAACAGTATAAAATGGTCAAAAGGGAATGAATAATTAATTTTTTTGAAAAGCGAAGATTCATTAATTAATTTTTTCAAAATGGACTAATTTATAACTTGCTCCCACCTTCTCCTATCCATTATTGCATTCTGAAAACGCAAAACACAAAATCTGAAAAACATAAAACTCTTAGAAAATAAAATGGCAATGGCTCTTTTCCAAATGGATCTCCGACCAGCCACCCGAATTACTGGTGTTGCAGCCCTCTATCACCTCAAGAACTCTGCTCGATCCGACCTCAGACCTGATATCTTACGGGTCGGCTCATCTGCTAGGAATATAACAAGACCAGGAAATGGGTTGGCTGTGAAGGAAAATGCAGAGAACAACAAGAAGAATATCAAGAAGCCTGATGTATGTACGGCGGATGAGCTCCACTATGTCACTGTTTCTAATTCTGAATGGAAACTCGCTCTCTGGCGTTACTTGCCCTCTCCAAAGGTATAGATAGGCATTGGTTGCACATTTGTATTTTCTTCAGTAAAGAAACAATTGTTTTTTCTTTTTTTTTGTGTTGAATTGATCGTTTGTTTTGATTCATAGGCAAAGCCAAGGAACCATCCGCTGCTGTTGCTATCTGGTGTTGGGACTAATGCTATTGGATATGATCTCTCTCCTGAGGTGACCCTTTCTTTTTGTTTGTGTACTATTTGGGCAGCTTTACTCTTTCTTTTGTTTACGTTAATGGGTGCTCTCTCTCTCTCTCTCTCTTTTCTTTATAAGAGGTTAATGTGGTATATATTGGGTTTCTTTTGAAAACGACCAAATAGGTGTTGTTTTTCCAATATGCAAATTATGTGGTGACTTACGTCAATGGAGAACAATTTCTTCTTTGTTTTGTCATAGATATGAGAGCGAGGGCTTTATGCTTGCATTTTTCATTGATTTTCAGCTGAAGGTTTCTGTTGTCATTCATTCTTCCATGTTTTTAAGTCTATTGATAATGTGTGATTCCTTTCAGTCGTCATTTGCTCGGTTCATGTCTGATCAAGGATTTGATACGTGGACTCTTGAAGTTCGAGGAGCTGGTTTGAGTGCTTTGGCAGCTGATCATGGGGAAGGTAAGCAGCCTCCTAATGCAATTGAAGCAGAACTGATTTTCATTGATTGTGGTTATTAATCAAGGTGGGTTCTCGAGCAGATTCTGAGATCTCTTCAGTTGAAGGGGAGGGATCAGAAATTGTCTCTAAATCCAAAAAAGCTCGATCAAAGTTGTCAGAAACTCTTACGAGCTTATCCGAAAGGTTCTCAGGATATTTTGATGAAGGTAATTCAAAGAATGTTTTGTTCAATGGAAACTCTCTATCCTGTGCTTTTCTGTTTGATACTTTCACGATATCAGAGAGAACTTACAAGTTCTTTTGTAAGCAGGGAAAAACTCTGCCATTGCGAGCCAAATTAAGGATTTTAGTCAAAAGCTTGTGAATATTATTGATGGTCAGAAATCAGTTGCACCACAGATTTTTGGCTTTCAAGAGAACTTTTCAACTGCACTAGAAGATTTCCTGAAACAACTTGACCTGATTGTGAAGTATGATTGGGACTTCGATCACTACCTGGAAGATGATTTGCCCGCTGTGGTAAGGTGACATCTCTTCAATGTAAATGATTTTACTGTTTCTACTAAGTCTTTGATAACCATTGGACTCTCACTTCTAAAAACCCATACCACATTTGAAAGATAAACTTGGAATACTCAGTGGATGATTTATTTCTTCTTAGATTGAGTTTATAAGGACTCAATGTGGACCAAAGGATGGCAAGTTGCTTGCAATTGGGCACTCCATGGGTGGTATTCTGCTATACGCCATGCTCTCACGATGTTGTAAGTGCTCATACTCTTTCTAATATCTTTCTGCATTGTATTCTGCATTGCTTGTATGCTGTGAGGCAGAGATCCTGATTATAACATTACACACAGTTCTATAACTTTTTGCTTGATTTTTAATATTTTTATTTCTTCATAATTAGGTATCTTATTCTTTGCCATTTTGCTATTAGTGTAATTCATAGAAGCAAGTTGAGAAAAAACAAAGGACTAATAGTCCATCCACCTAAATGCTCATGAACAGCTTGACTTGATAAAAAAATTATTGTTAAATGCTTCAAAGAGCATAATTGTTTGATAGATAGGCTTGTGGAAAAACCAGGGTCAGCTCAAGGCTTTTGTAGGGTCGAAATAGGTGCCTTGTACTGGCGGTTATGAAAATTTCTAAAAGGTTTAGCTGTTGAATGCTGTACATTATATACTTTGTGGGTTATGATAAAGATTAAACAAGTTCCTGAAATTTGAACTTGTGATTGTTATGATATTAACAATATTTGGTATTTAAGAAAGGTGAATGGATCATAAAAAGGCTAGCTTGCTTAATATATAAATTCCAGGCATGAATAGGCTATGCTTAAGTTCAAGTTTACTTATGAGCCTTTGAAAGTCAATAAAGCTCAGTCTATGCATTCTGGTTTTTAGGTTACAATTTTGCTGGAATGAGTTTGTTGGCAACATTGAGGAATTATGTTTAATGCCACTGCTTTTAACATTTTGTATGTGGCGATTCAAGATATGTTATGAAGCATAACAGCTTCTTTACAATTTACAAAGTTTTAAATCATCTTTGGCATTGTATGTAATGTTGTTTAGGTTTTGATTGAAGAGTGCAATGGTTTCATGTAACTTGGGTCAAGGGGTTAGTATCCTTGAGCTTGGAACAATCTTTTCCTTCTTTGCTAATTTCTCTCTCTCTCCCTTTTAAGGTTTCAATGGAATGGATTCTGGGTTTACATCAGTAGTTACTTTGGGGTCATCACTTGACTACTCATCTTCAAAATCATCACTCAAATTGCTTTTACCAGTGGTAAGTGAAATGAAGATCTATTTCTTTCAACTAAGTGATTCTTCTTATATGACTAGAAAGAAAACCATTATGGATCTGATTTTGGTTCATCATGGTGCCCAGACAGATCCTGCAAAGGCACTTAATGTTCCTGTTATTCCACTTGGAGCATTACTTTCTACTGCTCACACTTTCGCATCTCGTCCTCCGTATGTTTTGTCTTGGTTAAATTCTCAAATTTCTGCTCCAGGCATGATGCATCCTGAGTTGCTTGAAAAGCTTGTTTTGAACAACTTCTGTAAGTACAAAATGTTGTCCTTCTAACTTACAAAAGTTTGTATCTAAAGAGGCATAAAAGTCCTGTTTCTTCTATAAATCCATCGGCATCCCCAGAACTACATTTTGATTCCTTGATTATAACATCAAACCATCACTCTCTTGATTTAATGCTGTGGAAACTTCTCTTTATGCCTATTAATTTAAAAATCTGCAGTGCTGCAGGTTGCTATCGCTTCGCTAGCTGTTCTCTCTCTATCATATTGGTCAATGCATTGTCTTTCAGTTTTCCCTGTGCATGTTTTATTGAGAGGAAGACAAGAGCCCAGTTTATTTATTTTTTTCACTCATCAGTTTCATATAATTCATTTACAAGTTAAAGCTGAATGCTGAGGCTTGTGGCTTCTTCATTCTATCTCATATCTTCTCAAACAATCTTTCAGTTTAATCATCTGAGTTGAGCATGGCTTGTATATCCACATATGCCAGTACAAAAAGGTCTTTTCAGTTAATTTATCCTCTAGGGTCTTGGCCCTGCTTCTTCTTCTTCTTGCCGAATTGCTGCTAATGAGTTTGAGAATTTATTAAGTTTTTGTTTTTTTTTTTTTTTTTTTGTGGATAAAACTCCCAATTTATTTTTGGCCTTTCGCAATGTCAATAATGGCCGCCATTTCCACTTATCTCTTCCTTCCTAGCATGTATGAGATAATCCAATCATAATAATCCAGGCACAGTACCTGCAAAGCTTCTATTGCAACTGGCAACAGCATTTCAAGAAGGTGGATTACGAGACCGTAGTGGATCTTTCCTTTACAAGGATCATCTTGGCAAAAGCAATGTTCCAGTGTTAGCAATTGCTGGGGATCAAGATCTCATCTGTCCTCCAGAAGCTGTATATGGTACGTCATTATTTCATTTGGTTTGCTTGCACCTTTAATTAGCTTTAAATTTTCTAGTAATTCTCATAAACATTTATTTTCTGGCTATGATGACGCCAATGGAACAGAGACAGCAAAGGTCATTCCAAAGCATTTGGTTACTTACAGAGTTTTTGGAGAGCCATGTGGTCCGCATTATGCTCACTACGATCTAGTGGGAGGTCGTTCGGTATGAGTTAATCTTATACTCTTTTTTAAGGTTCTAGGTATTATTTACAGAATTAGTATAGTTACTAATAATCAAAAGAAAGGAGGTTATAAGTATTATATCATATGCCTAACCATACTTTTATCTGTAAGTTCTATGTACTGATGAGTGCATAACATTTTCTTCTTTTCCACAGGCTGTAAATCAAGTGTATCCATGCATAGTCAATTTCCTCAATCAACATGACATATAACTTAATTTCAACAATACATTCTTTGGATTTTTTCCTACACAAATTCATTTATCCATTAAGAAAGAAGCAAGCTGATGAAGAATCCCACATATTGACATGAATCTGTACATCATAATTGTATATTGAAGAAAAGGGAAATAGCGGATGTGACAGCATCGAGCCCTTGACTGAGCAAAGTTCATTTGACACCATCAAAGAGGTGTATTTGCATATGCATAATTGTATATTGTAGTTGTATATAGAAGGGATGTGTACCAAACAGGAGTATAATTGGAATAAAATGGAGAAATGCTTCTCATTACCCAGATATTTTTGCTGCCCTTTAGCAATGCAGCTTATTTATTTGTTTATTTAAGGCGAGGCAAAGTTCTGGAGGGGCAAGATGGTTTATGCTCCATGTTTATTTCCTTCTATGCCAAAAGGAAGAACAGGAATGGCAATGGATGGATCGGGTGGCAATGTATGTATACACACGTTTAAAAATGTGTTTATTACCAATAGGTTTCTTACGTTCAATTCTTGACAAATTTAAACTGTGGATTGGATCTTTTAGAAGCTTGAGAGTAGCTTTTAGGAATTTTTTAAACTCTAAATTAAAAGATAACAAAATTAACCAAATGGGTTTTAATTCCATGTCATCAATAAATACGGTTTATCGGTTTTTTTTCCTAAGTCATGTGGTATTAACACCTCTTCAAGTGTGCCTTTTAGGTGTAGAGTGTGTATTGAAATCGATGGAGCGCTGGAAGATAATCTCACCGTTTGTTTTATATTCACGTTATGTATATATTCTCAAAATGAAATTGTATCGCTGCAAATAGAATCCGCATGCATACCTTTTCTTTAGGGATATATTGCAGATCTTCACTTTAATTGTAAGAAAACAAGCATGTGAGAAATCTGCCATTTCGGTGTCTTTTTTTTTTTTTTTTTTTTCAGCGTCCATCTTCTTACTTAAGTGTCTATTTATTTTATTTTATTTTAAATGCCTACAATCACAGGAGATTAGAAAATATTAATGTATTCGAAATAAATTGTTACGTAGTAGCATTTTATTAACATACGACAAAAAGTGAGTGTCATTTGGATTATTAAAAGAAATTGAGTGTTTACCTTTTGACTTTTTTTTCAAAGTTCAATTTTTTATTTTTTATATTTGCATTCTCTTAGTTACTTTAAACTAGAAAATACTAATATGATTAGAATCACTAACACATCAAAATCTTTAACTGATACTTGATAAAAAACGAGATCCACTCAGATTTATTAAGAAATATATATATATAAGAAATTTAATAAAAGCAAATAGTTGACAAGAATTAAAAAAAAAAATCAAAATCGATTACTATTAGTAAAATGAATTCGAATTATTTGGATGATCCAATGTTACAACTCTTGGATTAGATAAAAGAAATGGTTCGATGAAAATATGTTGGAAGCATTTTAAGAAATTGATTAGTAAATTTGTCGAGTTCATTTTTCTAACAATAATTGCATTTGATTTTTTTTTCCATTATGGTCAACTTTTTTTATAGGGTTTTATTTTTTGTTTTTCTCAATAAATTCAAGTGGAATTCATCTTCTTTTTTTTTAATGTATCGATTAAAAACTATCGTATGTTAGTGAATTCCAATTACATCAATACTTTTTTATCTCATGGGAGTTAAGGGACTCAAATAGAAAAAAAATTCAAAAGTTGGTCACTTAAAGAAAAAAATAATAAAGAATTAGATATTCAAATTGCATTTTCTCTACAAAAAAAAAATTGATTTTTTTTTAATAATCCAAATGGTATCTACTTTTTGATATATGTCAATTAAAAATATCACGAGATAGTTTATTCTAAACACGTCAATATTTTTTTAGTTTTCGGTAATTGCGGATGCTCAAATAAATAAAAAAACAATATCAAAGCTTGGACACTTGAATAAAAAAAATTACCAATTAAATACTCAAAATGGAGAGAAAAATTAAAAATTAAATATTAAATATTCAAATTATAGTTATCTCTTTACAATTGCGTCTTACCAAACATTTTTCACTTAAATAAAAGGATTTACTAATTAAACGCTCAAACAAGGAGAAAAAAAATTCAAAAATTAAATACTTATATCTCTTTACAATTTGCATCTAACCAAATAGTTGCAACATTCTTTCTCTACGTATCACGTGGGTTCAACCAAATCACATGGATTGTTGAGGAGGGGGAGGGGAAGCAAAACAAAGCTGCTAAGTATTCTAGCAAAAAATACTTAAATCATACTCTAAAACAAGGCTAATCATTGAGAAAAAGATGCAAACAAATTGCCACATCACTAAGGATATATACTTTTTCCATCTAGCGAGACCAATCCAAAACGCAAGCTCTCGAGCATATCCTCCAAAATTTGATTCACCATCTTTGTTTATCCATCGCTCTATGGATGGAAGGTTGTGTTAAAATTTAAGTTAGTTCCCATCACTCGACGTAAACTCTTCCAAAATCATAATGTGAACCAAAGGTCTTGATCGAATACAATTGAGACTTCAATTTCATACAACCTCATAATCTCCTTCAAATACTCGTTCTATATACTATTGCATGGAGTAGGTGAACTTTATCGCTAAAAAATGAGATTGGTTTGGTTAATATGTCCACAATCATCCATCTACCATCGGCTCCCCTTCCGGATCTTAATAATCCAAATATAAAGTTTATAGTAATGTGTTTCCATTTCCACTTAAGAATGTCCAACGATCTCAATAATCTCGATGGCCTTTGGAGCTTAATCTTAACTTGCTAACAAGTCAACCATCGTGCCACATAATCATCAATGTCATGTTTCATCCCTCTCCACAAATAGATTCTTTTCAAGTCTCGATACATTTTAGTACTTTCTAGATGGATGGAGTAGGGTGTGGCATGACCTTCCTTTAAAATATCTTCTCTTTGCTTCTTTACTGCGAAGCACATAGTTTGCCACGATGACACTAAATACTATTAGTATCGATGGCAAAGTTAGTCCTCTTCTCTCCTACTACTCATTACTCGAATCTTAAGTAATTTAGCATCTTGTAATTACTATTCCTTTATTCTTTACCTCGGATATGGCTTTAGCATCAATGAATTTATTAAATCATTATTGGTTCTTCTTGATATAGCTTCCAATCGAATCTTCTCCATGTCTTTGATTATTTACGCCTATAAAGCCATTATTAATTTCGACTTAAACCATCTCGCCACGATGTTTACTTTACCGGGGTGGTAATGAAAATAAATTTTAGGGTCATTTAGTACTTGAAGCCATCTCATTTGTCTCATATTAAGCTCGTTTTTAGTGAAGATATATTGGAGGCTTTTATTATCGTTATAAGTGTCACATTTAACATCATACGAGTAGTGCCTCTAAATTTTCAATGTAAATATTGCTTGCACCTAATTGCAAATCATGCATGGGATAGTTTTTTATAGTCTTTTAATTATCGATAAGCATAGGCATTTACCTTTTTATGCTGCATCAAGATCACTCCTAGTCTAATTTGTTATGCATTAGTGTAAACTACGAACTCTTTATTATCTTTTAAAACGACTAAAATTAGTGTCATGGTCGGTCTAAATTTTAGCTCTTAGAAACTTCTCTCACAGTTATCATCCTACTTAAATTTAGTGTTTTTTTGTATAAGCTTAGTAAGTGGCATGGCTATCTTGGAAAATCTCTCCATAAATTTCTTACAATAGCTTATCATTCCGAGGGAACTTTTTACCTCAAATACATTCCCCAAACTACTTCCACTCTTTTACTACTTGCACCTTTCTTGGATCTATTGTAAACCCATCCTTGGAAACTAAATGCCTAAGGAATGCCACTTACTCGAGCCAAAATGCACACTTTTTAAGTTTAGGGTTCAATTTGGGCTCATGTTGTCTTCGGTGTCTTTGTTAGGTGCTCTACATGCTCCTCTCAGCTCTTTGAGTATATCGGGATATCTTCAATGAATATTATGAAGAAGTTATTTAGGTATTCGGGGAATACCCAGTTCATCAAGTCCATGAATATGGTCAAAGCATTAGTTAACCCAAATGACATCACTAGAACCTCATAACGTCCATATCGAGTCCCGAAGATCATCTTCTTTATATCCTCTTTCTTAATCCTTAGTTGATGTTATCCTAATTGTAAATCAATCTTTAAGAACATCGAGTTTCCTCTCAACTAGTCAAACAAATCATCAATATAGGAAGTTGACTTTTTTTTCTTGATAGTCATCGATTTAAATCTCAATAATCGATACATAATTATAGATCTATCTTTCTTCTTTACAAACAAAATCGATGCTTCCCATAGTGAACAACTAGGCCAAATATAACCTTTTGTTCAGCAATTCTTGTAGTTAATTCTTTAACTTTTATAACTCGTTGGAGCCATTCTATATGACACATTGGATATCGATGCTATTTTAGGCTTAATTTCGTTCTCAAACTCAATTTCTTTCCTTGGTGGTAATCCCGATAAACTCTTGGGAAAGACATCGGAAAAGCCCCTTACTACCTCTATGTCCTCCAATTTACCACTTTTCTCATTAACGGTATTCACCACATTAACTAGGTAACCTTTGCATTCACCTTTAATCCTCTTCCAAGTCGTCATTACCAAAATTATGCTCACTAACTTCACTTTTTTTTGGCCTACAACTCGAATGGTTGCTCTCCCAATAGACAAAACACAACTTTTTTAGCGAAATAACCAATTGATGCTTCACTCTTGGACAAGCAATCCATGCCCAAGATAACATCAAAATTCTTAATCCTTAGTGCTACTAAATCAACACGTTACCGCTAATTAGAATTTCACAATCTCTAACCACACTTTTAGATTCTATTGACTCTTTTAATGACAGAGTTACCTTATATACTATGTCAAGCATTTTCTCAATAATGACCATTAAATGAAAGAATGTGCGGCATCCGAATCTACTAAAGTATATGCAATAAAGTTAAGGATAAAAAATTACCACATATAACTATGACATGCTCCTTCTCTGCCTTCTCTTGGATTATCATATAAACCTATCGTAGAACACTCTATGGAGCTTTCCTCTTAGGACAATCTGTTACCATGTGTCCGACCTTTCTAAAGAAGTAGCGAGACATTAGTATCAATCAAGCGATTGCCAGCATGCGATCGACCACATTCGGGATAGTTCAACTTGCTCTTTGTCACCATCCTCTGTTTCCTTCTAAGAGCTTTAGGTTTCTTGGCATCGACTGGCCATGTCCTCATGAATGGTTAATGTTTGCCAAATAGACCGTCGATTTATTTGGAATATTTAACTTTTTACCCTATGAAAACGAGTGTGCATTCCCTTCGATCCGCTTCAATTTCAAATGCCTTACTAACTATTTTAGCATTGTAGTTTGTTGACACACAAACTAAGCTTTAAATTTTAGCCTTCGAACTTAAGAAAATGCTCTCTCTTTTGTGTTGCATCACTCGAAATAAAGTTTACAAACCAACATCTATGCTCGAATTTTCAAACATACTCGGCTACGAACTTGTCGTTTTACTCTAATTTCAAGAATTCTTGGATCTTCCT